ATATTGACTATACATTTGATTTATTTTCTATGGTATAGGCCTATGAATGAGATAAAATCACATGACCTTTTTTAAGAGGGGTAAACCTTGAATTTTGAAGAAATTATAGGTCATACTATTTATATCATGAGTAGCGAACCCTTTTTCTTGATTGTAAAGAGTGGCTCCTTTTCTTAATTATGACTAGCGAACCTTATGAAGAGCGGTCTTTATTTTTTATGAATAGCTAACCCTGTACTTCATTATGAATAACGACCCTATGGTATAGGGATAAGCCAATGTTATGAATAACGAACCTTATGAATAGCAAACTTTCTGACTAGCGAGCCTGACCGTAGCTAGCATGAGACAGACAAGGCACCTGCCTCATCCATCATGAAATTGGAGCATATAAGTATAAATGTCAAAAAATCTATTTTGTACCAACAATCGTCGTTTAAACTCAAAAATATGAACAATTGGGATTCTTTAAGACTGTTATGTCAGATTCTGACACATTATTGATCAGTGAATTATGATATCTGTTAAAATATATTTTACATGCAGAGCACATTAGTTTTAATTTAAATGTCAACAAATCTATTTTTTAAACAAAAAAATCATAGTTTTAGCCTAAAAATTACCAACTATTGGGTTTTTTTTAAACCCTAATGGGATTCTGACATGTTATCGCCAGCGAGGTATACTTTTAATTAGAATATGTTTTTTACATGCAAAGCATATCAGATATAGGTTAAATGTTAAAAAAAAAATTGACATTTTTTTCTAAGAAATCATATTTTAGCCCAAAAAAGTGTCAACAAATTGATTTTTTTTTGTTTCAGAGATTTTCTTGAAAAGCATGTTGATAAAACTATTTCATTCTTATATGCTTATCGTGAAAAAAAGAATGACCACATAGATGCTGAGCCTGTTTGTACAAGTAGGCCTTGTACTACAATAGTCAAAAATACTAAAATATCAAAAACCATATTTTTCCATTTTTTTTCCCAAAAATTCAATTCAAAATTTATTTTTTTGGCTCACATAATAATATCTATATATAATAATTATGTAATACCAAATTTGGCACTTTTTCATCCAGGTAATCCAATCATTAGTCTATGCAAAAGGTTAAAATCTAGATTAATACAAAAGCGACTTTTTCGTTCAAAGAATCTTTTATTTTCCGTATTTTTTTCATCTTTATTTATAAAATAAATAAATAAAATAAATACTGTATTCATAGAGAAATATTGCGTATGAAGGCATAATCACATGTAGAGCCTAAGTCCTTATTTAGACCCTTAATGTGAGTTTTTAACAGGATTATCCATTTCATTTCTGCGTTACGTCGTTCTTGTGTTGATTTAAAATTGCAACCTATTATTATAACCCTAAAGTAATTGATGGTGTGATTAGGTGAATTAAAATGTACACTTACTGGGTAGTTGAGTTTGTGTCTTATAGATGATTTGTGGTTGTTCATTTCTAGATCTGAAAGTTAGACCAGTTTCGCCAACATATTTTCCCTCGTTGCATTTGTTGCAGTATATGAGGTATATAATATTGGGCGAGTTACAATTCAGTACTGGTGGCCGAATTGTTGTTGTGTTCCTGGTGGAGTAAATGAGCTGCATTGAAATTCAAAGTTAGATCGAATACATTGCCATTAAATGATAGAACCTCAAATTGGAATGAAAGTAGTAATAAAAAATGTATAATTTGCGATTTAAATTCTGATGAAAATGTTCGCCATTTCCTTTTTGTCTGTCCAGCACTTCAAAATATACGTATTAATGAAAATTTTAAATTACGAAGTGAATTAGAACTATATGGCAACCATGACCTATATTACATGTATTTAAATGCAGATGAAAACACCAAACTTCAATTTATTTTGGGCAGCTCATCATTGTTTCTTAGCAGTAAATCTGAAGATGTTTTTGATAATTTTTGTAAACAATATATTAAAAAGGCTTGGAAATTTCGCAATGACATTATTAATTCCATGTCTTGATTGATTCAGTTTCTTTTACCTTAATTGCTTTTCCTTTTACATTTGATTCTTATCTGCATTGCTGTTTTATGCATTATTTACTGTAGTGTACATTTTTTTTTTTTTTTCATACATTATTTGCTGATATAGGCCTTTCACCGCAAATAAGCGGGGAAGCACGTGTGGGAAGGGGAAATTTATTGTGTACTTGTGTGTAGTTTTTAAATTTTAGCTGTGTAATTTGTAATTGTTTTGAATATAGGGTTATGGTGCATTTTGTATTACATTATTTATGTTAGGGAGGGGAAGAACCTTAATTATTAGTTCTGTAAGTTTTCTTATGCTTGGTAATTTTTTTGTATTTGGTTTTATCATTTTTAGTCTAAGTATGTTTTTGTTTTCATGGATGCACCTTCTTCTTTTGAAGTGTGCCACTGTTTCAAAAGTGTATATCCAAATAAATAAATAAATAAATAAATATTTGCTTATTTCTGACTAAATAATGATCATATTGATTCTAAACCTATTTGTACAGGTAGGGCTTGCACTATAGCAGTGAAAAATACCAAAATATTGAAAACTGTATTTTTTCCAAAAACGATATTTTTACCCTAAAAATATGATTTTATTTTTGGCTCCATAAATTTTCTCGAAAAGCATGTTGATAAAAGTATCTCAACCAAAAATTAAAGTTTTGCCATCCGTGTAACGATTCTTCCATATTTTGACGTTAAGGCACTCTACTATGGTTCATTGTTGAGATTAGAGTTTACTGCCTTTTGATTAAATACTTTAGAGCGAGTTGTATGTGTTTAAAAATTGACTGACGCTTGAGTTGGTAGTTCAGCCTCCAGCACCTCTCTACTTTGAATACTCATTCACCGGGTCTTGACAGAATTTTTCACATGGGATGTAGAGTACTTGCTTAACTCAACAAATTCAGTGTGGAGAAGCAAAATTATGATTCATTTATTCTGTACCATTTAATTAAAACGTTATCATCAGCAATACAGTTAGTTTCATCAATAATGATTTTATTTACTGAACAAAAACATACAAAGATAAAAACAAGCAAAATATTATAGATACTGTAGGTCTTAAAAGTATTAAATGATTAACAAGACATATTCAACAATAAAGAGAATTGAAAAGAACATGAAACACATTCTGAAGTAATAAAAATACAGGTTAGATATGTGTGTAGCAGTGCTCACTGTCTAACTATGGACCTATTAACTAGCTATTCTAATATTTAAAATATAGGCTTAGGCCTTACTATTAAAGTCAATATGGAGAAGATATAGGCCTAGGCCCCCCTAGGCCTAGATTACAGATAGGCCGGCCTAGCCTATCATGCCCTGGAAGGCCTATGAACGTCACGATCACCTTGCAGATGCGTCATTTCTACGATCGACATATCACGATATCATAATAGAACCACCATCACTTAAAATCACTATTACAATTTTGTAAAGAACTGTGGTTTAATGAAGTTTTGTAATTTTCTTAACTGTTGTTCGTATGTGTTTTGTGGAGGAATCGGGAGAAACTGTTAAAAATGCATTTAAATGTCACTAAATTCTCATATTTTCTACAGAAATCGATCACAAACAAACTAATTTACCTTCAGGTCGTCCGTAACTTTTGAACAAAAAGTCGAATTGAAATTCGGTTTTTTGGCACTTGTCCCTGTGAAAAATCTTTGTTTTCTTCGCATATAAATCTAACACTAGAGGTCACTAAGCATGTCAAATATATTCTAAAATTAACCCAAGAGTTAATGACGTCAGTAAAATTGTTGCTCCACTCACGCGATATTTACCAATAGAGGGTGTCCTATAGGCGGAAAAGATGATCGTTGTAAGTCCTTCTTATTAATAGGTCCATGGCTGTACGAACCAAGGCTAGGCCCATCGGTGAGACTTGCGTTTATTGGAACACTTATATACCTGCTCAAATGGATCTCAAACGAAACAAGCCTGGGCCCATCGGTCAGAATTGCATTTATTGGAACACTTATACCTGCCCAAATGGATCCAAATTTTGAACAAATAAACAAATATAATACATATGGATTCCGACCGGCTTCCGTTTAAGTGCTATTTTATGCTGAACCGATGCGATAATATACAGAGTTGGACACTGAAGGTTAAACGAATACTTTTCGAAAACGGCTTTGGTTTCGCTTGGCTTAACCAAGGAGTAGGCGATAATAAATTATTTCTCAAGAATTTTAAAACCAGATTAAATGACAATTAGTTACAAAAGTTCATTTACTATTGATAATCCGTCTCGCAAAATGACTATATTAATATTGAAAATCAACTATCATACGAATTCCAATTTTTCAATAGTAGCCGATTCGAAGCACCGTAAATGCATAACTCTAATCCGCACTGCGTCCCATCCCTTACTTAAAAATACTATAAATGAAGCAGACCCAATTATTTGCTGTCTTTGTGACGCTAACGAAATAGTAGACGAATATAATTTTTTCTATAATTTGCACAGCTTACAAAAAAGAAAGAGAGTCTGTCTTGCTTTCTTTTTTTCTATTCAAATCCAAATTATAATAAATTTCTAAGAGTATTTCAATATACTCAGTTAAAGGTAAGCACCGTACAACACCGTACAAGTTCCTGTACTGTGCTTTTAATATAGAAAAGAGACTACTACCTGGTTAAGGCAAGCGAAACCAAAAAGAGTAACAGTTAACTTAGTAAAACCGACAATGTTATTGCTATTGTTATATTTATGGCCTTATGGGCCGGTGGCCTGATTGGATGAATAAAGTCGGGTAGTTGCCCCAGTGAATGAATAAAAAAAAAACAGTCCCAAAATTGAATTTTAAAAGATGTTAGGCTACAACATTT